CGATTTGCTAGAGAAGTTAATTCTGCTTGAATTGCTTCTTCCCACTTTGGCCAATCGTGTATCTTTCGACTAATGTGTCTCAAAATCATCATTCATAATTTCAGTAGCTACTACAATGAAAATATGTCATCAATGATAATTTTCTCATGATTCCACATTTCTTTTGTATGAGCATAGTTTACAGAGATTTCTTCATTTCTATGTTCTTGTATTTCTTTAGGGATTTGTTCCCCTTCAGGGGCTTGTGTCTTTTCAGGGACTATTAACTCTTTTGAAGTTAGTTTAGAAGATGTAGAATTGTCTATTATCCAGTATTGTCAATATTGATATCTATCTAACTCTTTGCCTTTCGTTTCCTAGAAACAATATCCTTGGCTCCAACAAGTCTATGACGCTTTTGGCATGTAACAAATGAATTGATTGTTGCTCGAATGGATTGTTCATTGGTAACATCAATCCTTGTTGGTGTATTGATAATAGATATTTATGATCTTGTTACTTTTGTTGCATCTGTAAATGCATCGGGCACTTGATTGGCAATATTTTTCAAATGCATTATTCTTTACACTTTGATTTCAGATTGGGATGTGCGAGGATATAAATAAAACATAGAATTTTACTTTCCAAGAAAGTTCAGACTTTACTTCAGGAGGCTTTACCTTTTCCCCTAAAGATGGAAATATTGACTCCTCAAAATGGCAATCCGTAAAAAATTGGGTAAACAAATCACCCATTAGGGGCTCAAGACATCTAATGATGGACGGTGAGTTATAGGCAACCTATATTCCCAATCGACGTCTGAGTCCTAGTTTGGTGCGTTGAGAGGGTACAATTGGAATTTGTAAAGCACAACCAAAAGTTTTTAAATGGGATATAGTAGGCTGATGTTCAAATACAAGCTATATTACAGAGTATTGATAATATATAGAGGGTCTTAGGCAAATTAATACCGCAACATATAAAACAACATAAGCCTAGGTAGAAGTCGGTAATTTTGTATGAAATAGCAAAGTTCTTTCAATTAACTAGATACACTTTATAAATGATTTTGCCAAACATTCTGGGTATGCACATATGATACCGGGTGCTCAATGTGCAATAGTCATCAAATGTCTTTGAAGTAAACTCTCCAGCATTGTCAAAACAAATTGCTTTAATAGGATAATTTAGAAAGTGTTCTCATAATCTCATAATTTCATAATTTCTGCCAATAATTGAGTAAAGGCAACATTACAGGTTGACAGTAAACAAACATGTGACCATCGTGCCGATGCGTCAATCAATACCATAAAGTAGCAGAATGGTCCACTTGGTGGATGAATAGATCCACATATGTCCCTTTGAATTCTCTGTAAGAATGATGGAGATTCTAAACCAACTTTAGAGAAGGAGGGTCTAACTACCAATTTGCCTTGTGAGCAAGCATTTCAAGTATTCTCATTAGGCGATGAAATCTTCTGGTTCTTTAATGGATGTCCATGTGAGTTTTCAATGATTCTACGTATCATAGTGAATCCTAGGTGACCGAGGCAATCATGCCAAAGCATAAAGAGTTTAGGATCTATGAACTTTTGGTTTACAACTGCATAGGTCTCAATATTCTTTATAAATATGTAATATAATCTAGACGAGAAAGCATGAAACTTCTCCAATATATGCTTCTAGCATGAAACATTAGAAGTGATGCATAGAAATTCTCTATTATTTTCACTTAGTTTCAATGTGGTATCCATAGAGTCGTATATCTTTGAAACTAAGTAAATTTCTTCTAAATTTGCTAGAATGTAAAACATTATGGATACTCAACTTAATTTTGCTTGCTAACAAGAGTATCGCTCTTCCAGAGCCCTCAATTATGTTTACAGACCTTGATATAGTATTTAATTTAGCTTTAATTAATATCAAAACTAAGAAATATTTTCTGTCTCGAAGGATGGTGTTCGTCGTTGCACTATCTACCAGACAAAAGTCTCGTCCATTCTTTTTCCAAAGCGCACAATTCACTCTTAGATTTTATATCATTTTCAGTAAAGAATATTTACATTAGAAGTGAAAAAAGGAAGAACACATGATAAAAACGTGCATTACAACATCATATAACAAGCAATATTAATGCTTACTAAATAAAATGATATAATCATGTTTCCTTTTAGTTTCATTGGGGCATGAAAGTACATTTTTTCGAATATACAAATGTACTACAGGTACATGGTAAATATATTTTATGACATGCCTACGAAATGTGTTTTCATGGTTTAAGAAGGCTTTTTTGTAGACCTTGGTTTCTTTAGGTTTATAAATATCCCACTTCTAGTGAGTGTCTTAACAAAGATTATATGATTGTTAACATTCTCTTCAAGGAATGGTGAAGTAATCACTTTCAGGTGATTCATAATTTTATTTAATGCGTATTGCTTTATTTGACAACCAAGAGATATTTAACCAATTTCTAAATATTTTGTAAGTTTGGTCTTATTACACAACTACTAAAGGGGACGTTTGATATATGTACTGCTACAACATGAGCGTATCTTTAGTTTTAGGGAGGATATCTCCTTTCAATGGTCATTTTGTTCTTTTATAAGATCAACGAGTCCTATATCATAAGAAATTTAGCTCCCAAAATTCATTTAGGTGGTAGAAATAAATTTAGGATTTTACTTTATCCTACAGGGATAAGTAATTTTCTTTCCTGAATCTGCATCTTCTAGATGCATGTCATAGGATGCATTCGGGCATCCAAAAACAATACTAAAAAAAAAAATTATAAATATAAAATGTGATCATTGTAAAGGAAAGATAAATTGCATAAATAGTAAATGTTAATAAAATGACAAAAATAACAATAAATTGCGTGTAATAAAAGGCAAGCAATAATTAGAGTCAGAACTTCGGATTCTGATATTAGAATCTTGAAAATTAGAACTTCAAGTTATAAATTTTGAGTTCTTTAGACTTCAGGTCTTTTATTACTATTATTTATAAACTTCAAGTTCGCAATTATATAAGAACATAACTTTAGTATTTAGAACTTCAACTTTTGAATCCATATATCAAAATCATCGCTCCAGACTTTAGGTTGTAATGTTTGAAACTTCAGATTCTAAAATAAAAATAAAAATTTTAAATTTAGAACTTTAAGTTCATGATTTGGAGACTGGTTCTTAGAACTCTGGGTTCATTTATCATTTCTATTTACAAACTTCAGATTACCATAATTTCTGATGTCTCCAATAATATAATACAACTTAGAAAAATAAATACATAATGCAATTAAGTCATTAATAGCAAAATGTAAGAGCATTGGAAATATGTATAGAAAAAAAAAAAAAAAAAAAAAAGTCAATTGGTTAGTTCAGGAAACAATTATAGTAAATATATTATCGATAGGAACTAATCGTATTTTTTTATATGGAAAATCCATTTTATGCAACCATAGTGTACACTTATAATGATAGTTTTATCATATAATATATAATAAAATGAATGAATAGAACCATTACACTTACTGAGTTCCTCATGCTGATAATATGTTATAATCTTAATGGTGTAACTGCAATAAATAAACTAATAAGATTGAGTATAAAAGATCAAAATAAAGAGAGCCGACAGGAGAAGCTTTTATTATTTTTTCTCTCAATTGAGTCGTGTCTAAATGAAGGAAATATGCTTAATTTATAGCATTTTCTCACTGACATATCTCTCATAAAGATCAATTATCCAATAATAAATCATAATCCATGTGTCTTTAAATGGACTTGCATGAATCATATGTCTTCAAGTTGACTTGCATAGGCCATGTGTCTTTTAAGTAAACTTGTATGGGCCATATGCCAAATTGGTGAAAGTCCACCACTCACAACATAACTTTCATTCTTTTTTTTTTTTTTAATCTATATCTAACTTTATCAGAAATAGTTTTTTACTCATAAAATTATGAATCATGTTTCTCCTAAAACTATATTTTACCTAATTCTTTAGCGGCTTTAAAAATACATTTCAAGGAGAAGCCAAAACTATAAAATAATGGTGGCACTAGGTGCTATTTCCTTTTTTTAATTTTTTTTTTTTTTTTTTAATTATTGAGAAGGTAGACTTAAATTTTATAGTCAATTATATTTGAAAATGACAAGACATCAAAAATATATTAAGATTGTTTATAGCAATGTGTTATCGTTGAAGAGTTTTGTTGTATTGATCTAGGTTTCAATTTCTGGGTGGGAATTAAAATTAAATAAATTGCTTCAAAACTACTCTTATTCAATCTCTTCCAAAGTGATTTCTTATGTTTGGAGTTACCTTATTGATTTAACAAATTAGAAAGAAGAGAATGAAATAAAAAATGCTTTAGATAATTGCTTCTTGCTTTGTTGTTAAGGTTATAATGTTACTCATCTCATTCCAAGACATATCCTAATAAATTCTAAAATATGTACTAAATTACATATAAATAAAGTGATATTGTATTAAATAAAATAAGCATGACACATATTATACAATAACATAAGTTTGGCGATAAGTAGTATTACTCACAAAAAAATAGATAAGAGAATTAGAAAAAGCATTGTTCATGGAAATCATAATACATTCAAAAATTTAATATGAAATAATTTTTTTTTTATTAACGAGGCTTAAAGAATTTGGTTGGATACTGAATAACATAACTATAGTGAAAAACAGAGGAGGACAATGGGAGTGTTGAAAGAGTTTCCCCGGGGTGCATTTAGTATAACAAACAATCAAGATTTAGGCATGTACTAAAATGGTCCATCGAGTCAAAAAATGTTGGGTTTCGTAGGTGTAGCGTGTAGCCCAAATAAATGAAGAATTTTACGAAGAAACAAACTACAACTTTATAGGGAGGATCAGCATTCAGCCACAATACAAGGGAAATAAGTGTTAATTTTCAACTTATAGGGGGTTTTAAAAATTTCACTTAAGACGAGGGAGGTCAAGGAATTAACCCCCAATCGGGGAAATAAAAATATCCCTATAGGAAACGGAGACGAAACGAAATAGGATTACCCAAAGATTTGGAAAATAAATAAATGGATATATATATTGAAGACGAAGAGAAAGAGTAGAAATAATTGGAGAAAAAGAAAAAGAGTGACATGGAATCTGTATTATCAGCTAATGAGAATGATAAGCAGAGTTTGGTCTCTTCGTTTCTCGAGATCGCCGTTGGACAAACCACCGAGACCGCTATACAATTTTTACAGGTTTTTTTTTTTTTTTTTTTTCCTCTAATTTGTAATTTTTATTGCTTTAAAATTTTGAGGGTTTATTTTTTTCATGTGCATTCTGGATTTATTAGAGTGATTTGAGCCTTCAGCATCAGAAAAAAGATCTAACTTCGAATGATCAAACTTTTAGCTATAATAGTGAAAATTAAAAGTTGTTTTAGTAAATTTTGCTTTTTGATGCCTCCTACAGGCCACAAGTTGGAAGCTTGAGGAAGCTATTCAGCTGTTCTATGTGGGTAATGAAGGTGGAGCAAATGTATCAACTGCACACTCTTCACCGGAAGAAAATCCTATTTCAAATACTGCTGTTGAGAATTCACTGTAGGTTACACACTTCATTCTGGTCAACTATTTGTTTTGGTGTTTATATTTGTTTCATAATGTTGGTTTTGGTTTCCATATATTGTCATAGACCTGCAAACTCTGTGCTAGATGCTGGAGATGAAGTACGGCCTCCCCTTCCTGTTGTTAGGGAGACACTTTATGATGATGCTGCCTTTTATGGGTATGTTTTCTTTTGCAATTTTCGTTAGTCGAAAGGGTTTTATGTAAATTCATTTGCATCTTTTCTGAGTTTGTGGGCTACCGTCATTGAGCTGGATAAAAACATGCAGTGTTGTGTTTTATTCTTATTGGTGGAGGGTAGTTGTTAGTTAATTTTGTAAATGGAGCTTTTTCATCTTTAATTGGGAGATTTATTTATATTCGTGTAGCATGTCGAGGGAAGGACGACATGAACCAAGCTCCTTAATCGCATTCCGGAATTTTGATGAGGAAATGAAGCATCCTGGGGTTTGGGAATCCGATCAAGGTGCTACTTCTTCAGCAGATACTTCACGAGATAATCTTGCTTCTTTATATCGTCCACCTTTTCATCTAATGTTCAATGGCTCTTTTGAAAAGGTATTGGCATAATATTCAATTAGTTTCTAGCTGTGTTATTTATATGCTAAACTGACATGTTTTGCTATATTTGAATGACCATAATCAATTGTATAGAGTATAAATTATAGTTCTATTAGCGGATTGGATTTTGATGATTTTTGCCAATGCATGCCTTAACTGATGGGCTGTGATGACTCATGTAGGAGATTTTTTATATAGTGTTTTAATAAATTAACATTTATAGAATATGGTCAGTTTTAGGACTTTGAGAACTGCTTTCAGAAACAATGTCTAATGGAATTGCTCTTCCTATTTTCTAGAGAAAGTCTTTCTTTTGCTTTCTCAACCTGTACTGTTCGTGATTTTGTGCATAGAAAAGTAGTTAACTGAAATGATGCTGATGATGATCTAGAAAAACTGGGAGAGTGTAGATTTATAACTTGAAAATCTTTTCAAGCGAATTTAGGAATTGAACTGCTAAATGGAAATTTCTCTGTTTTCCTCTATGTTAGTAGGAAAATCTTTCTTTTGCTTTTTCAACCTATCCTCTTTGTGATTTTGTGTATAGGAAAGTAGTTGACTGAAACGATGAAGATAATGATCTAGAGAAACCGGGAGAGTGCAGATTTATAACTTGGAAATCTTTTCAAGTTAATGTTGGAATTGAACTGCTAATTGGAAAATTCTCTGTTTTCCACTTTGTTAGTGGTTATAGTCAACCTACAATGGGTTACTATTTTTTTCAAACACCGTAGGACAAGCTCACTTCTTCTTTTTCTTCTTTCCAACACAATAAGTTGTTGAATATCTAATTACACCACATGCTCATATATTTGGAACTTTAAACTTCTATTTCTTTGTGACTAGAAATTTGTGAAAACTTTGTTTATAACTCTTTCAACACCTTCATGCTTATGCTTTCCTTTGACTGGCTTTAGCAAATGTTATAAATCTGAAAGTAACAGTGCCTCATCTTCGTTTTTGCTTCTTGCTTGAAGAGCTTAGTGTGATTAAGACTTTGTGCGTTGGATAGTTTGGGTCTTTCTTTGAATTTTGGATAGTTTGCTCCTGACTCTGATGGCTTTAAATATCACTATATATTGTTCATGATATATAATTTTTGATAATTTAGTGCCTGAAAAAAAAAAAAATTGGAGTGTCAGTTAATGTGGGGTTGTTTTAGGGATAATTTAGCTGATCTACTGTTATACAGAGTTGTAAGAAACTTCCTGCCGAGTCTTGATTTGTCTGATTGCTATATAGTAGTATGTTGTACTTGTCTACCTGTTTTATTTAACCCAACTCAATTTGAAACTCCGTTTGTAAATTCAGGCCAAAGATGCTGCCTCTGTTCAGGACAAATGGCTCCTAGTGAACTTGCAATCTACAAAGGAGTTCAGTTCTCATATGGTAATTATATTTTTACCTTCTGTTGAATTTTGTCTTTATGTTTACTCACTTCCTGTGTTCTATATATGCTTTCTAAAGCTTAATAGGGATACATGGGCAAATGAAGCTGTTTCCCAAACTATTAGTACGAACTTTATCTTTTGGCAGGTAATTATAAAGCTTTGGTCTTTTATGTTCTTAAATATTCTCCTTTATCAGTTTAAATTGATGGAGTACTACAAAATCCTTCAATGCTACTAAATGACATACTTCCAATGCTTTGATATTTTATGATATGTAGATAAATGTAAGTTTAAGCCTTACTCTCAGATCTGTTTAGTATAGACAAATGCAACATGAGGCCATCCCCAGTGTTTAATAGTTGTCTTCTTAACCTAATTTTCAATTACTGTATAGAGGTAGGAGATTTGAGTTCTTGGTCAGTGCTGACAAGGACTTCACTGTCATTGAGAGGCTTCAAATGGAGGACTTGAAAAATTCAACTGATAAATATTTGGAATGTTTAAGAATTAGTAACTTTTTTTCTCATGGTATGGATAAGTTAGATAATCTATAGTGAGCTGAGAGTCAACTAATGTTGCCTTGGGCTGCCCACTGTAGGAAGGAAAGATTGTAGCCACATATATTCACTAAATCTTTTGTAGTTTCTTATCCTTTCTAATCATGTTGTGGAATTCATGGCATATTTATATAAGAAATACTGGTTGAAGCCGAAAGCTAAAGCTGTGACCCACTCAACTAGTATGAAGAGCTAATTGCCTACAAGATATTAGTCGAGGTGCGCGCAAGCTGGCCTAGACACCTTATTTAAAAAAAAAAAAAAAAAAAAAAAAAAAAACTTAGTTTGATAGAAAGTTTCCATGGTAGTTGGTTGTTAGTCCTAAAGTTGTGTCATGGGAGCATTTAGAATTATTCGTCTACCTAATTCACATGCTAAAATTCCTGTTGTTTTTCTTTTTCTTGTTTTTTCTTCTCTCCTAAATATATTTGGTGTTACTTTGCTTGGTCAATCTTTATTAATAAACACCAAAAACCATGATCCATGGACCATGAAATAACTCCTGAAACAAATAAAACATCACTTTAAATAGCCAAGTACACTTCCAGGTTCTTCATTTCCAGCCATCAGCTCACTATAATACAAAGTCTACTCCTTTGCTCCTTTGTTTGAATCTCACCTACACCGGATGACCCTATTATACTTCACTGTTCATGAAATTTTGAACCATTTCTTGGGTGCTGTTTGATGTGAACAGGGAAAGGTTTTATTAGTATCATCTTCTTCATCTAACTGATCTTGGGGTTTGCAAATAGGTGTATGATGATACAAGTGAAGGCAGGAAAGTTTGCACCTATTACAAACTGGATTCCATTCCAGTAGTTCTTGTCATTGACCCAATCACAGGACAAAAGATGCGCTCATGGTGTGGAATGGTCCAACCTGAGAGTTTGCTAGAGGTACATTCCCAGCAGTGAATAATTTTATTTTTGCGGAAATTTTTTTAAAAAGATTGGAAAGTTCTTCCAAATATTTGTTTAGTAACAATACATATAATATTGTTTTTGCTCAATGATGATTTTTATTGTGTTGACTTGCTGTTCTCACTTAACATATTTATAATTTTAGGATCTAGTTCCTTTCATGGATGGTGGTCCAAAGGATCAACATGCAACTTTGTCTCATAAACGCCCAAGAGGAAGTTCTATGACTCCTCAACAAAAAATCAAAGGTGAATTTATGATCTCTACATGTTTCTGCCTTATTAATTAAACATATAATGTCGCTGTGCGAGCTCAAATAAAGAATTGCTTGAAGTTTCATTTGTGTGATTATTTTAATTTAAGTCTAAAATTTGCACTTTAGTTTAGTCATTATTGCATTTTTCTTTGAAAAACCTGCTATAGTATGTGGGTTACTATTGTGCAAGGAGAGTTATTGAATTGCATTCATTGTTTCTTAATATGAGATGTTATGGTGTTGGTAGTGGAGTTTAATGTGGAACGAACCTGACTGCTTGAATTTTAGTTTAAGTGAAACTTATATTTAAAATTGCAAAATGTCTAGTGAAAAATGTATAATATTTTCGGTCATATTTGTTAATGGAGTTCAGCATCCCCATTAGATGAACTTTGTTTGCAAGCTTTACTACTGGTGCATGTCAATAAGGTTTCATTTATTGATATTTATGTTACTAAAAGTCATTTGTTTTATTTGCTTGTCAATAACTCCGTACATATTCTTTTCTTTCTGAATCTATTTTCTTTTGTCTTCTAATGGATTTTTTCTTGAAGAAACACTCTGAACTTGTTCTTTCAAGTGTTAAAAAGTATTTTTCCTTTCTTGTGACTTTTATCTTCTACCATGCATGATTATCTCCTAAACTAAACTCTTAAGTTGTGATGTATGTTTTGGACTATTTTTCTCTTGCATTCAACTCTTAAGTTGCAAAAAATGTTTTGGACCATTTTTGACCTGGTCTTGCTGTTAGCCAAACTCCAATGTGCTTTGAAAAATTATACTTAACCCTTCTCTCTCTCTTTCTCTTTTTTTATTTATTTATTTTTATAAAATTATTTTTTGTCATCTTGTCGTTTTTTTCTTATTTGTGTTGGAGGTTTCTGAAAGTGATTCTTACAATTTTGATTATAATTGTTAATATCTCTAGACAATAGGAGCAATGATAGGTTCTAGGTTCTTTTTTCAAATCCAAGCAGAGACAAAATGTTGTTTGTATTTATCCTTGTGGTTATTTAGCACAGATACACAAACACTAGATTATCTAGGTGTCTGCCATTTATTTAATGCATTATATATGAATGTAATATAAATTAGAGTTCATATGCTGCAGTGTCCACAGAGGAAGCTGATGAAGAAGACGAGGAAGTGCTGCAAGCATTGGCAGCTTCTATGGAGAACATAAAGGACTCTACTCTAGTGATACCTAGTGATGAAGTTGTAACTATTACTGACGATGAAACATGTACTACTAAGAAACCTACATATCCACCTCTACATGAAGAACCCAAAGGTGATAGGAGTCTTCTTTGCAGGGTTGGTGTCCGTCTCCCTGATGGACGGAGGATGCAGAGAAATTTTTTACGTACAGATCAAATACAGGTTTGGATACATTTAGAGGTTCATGTATTCTGCTGTTATATGATGTAATACTCAACCTATATGCCTTCTTTGAATCATTTGTTTGAATGCGGATCTCATTGGATTATGTAGGCACAGAAAGGATGACTGATAAACCATGATTATTGTTATAATTTTTTCTGATATCTGAACCTTGACTTTCCTACGTTTTTCACCCAAGCATGTGGCCTGAAGGGAAGTTGAACCTGCATGCCACTTGGTTGAAACCAAAGGCCTTAATAACTTAACCTAACCGCAATGTTATGGTTATGCTTTCGATTATTAGAGCGATTTTCACCATACTGTTCAGTGGAGACTGCTCGAATATGATTATGAAATGATGCATTAGTCATGGCTCATAAGCAGCTCACTCTGGTGAATTAAATTAACAATACATTGGTATTCCTGGCAATCCAATTGGAATTACTTATCGGTAATTTAAAGCCATAATATGCTTCATAGTGTATTGTTAAGATTGTAAGATTGAAGTAGCCTCCTTTTTTATTTGATTTTCTCGTTGTGCAGCTGCTATGGTCTTTCTGTTATTCTCAACTAGAGGGAGCTGAGACAAAGCCATTTCGCTTGACACACGCAATCCCAGGAGCTTCAAAGAGTTTGGATTACGAGAGCAAATTAACTTTTGAGGAATCAGGGCTTGCCAACTCTATGATATCAGTTACTTGGGAATGAAAACATGGTCTTGTTGGGCACTATATAACCAATTTCTTAAATTAAAGCCCTTTTGTTTTTGTGTTTTATTATATGCTTTTGTTTTGATTACTTTTGTTCTATCAGGAGCATGGATCAAGCTTTTATTTAATATGTATATACTCTTTAAATGAATGGGATAACAATCACTAGTGTATGCTAAATCGAATGTTGTTTTATAATTTGGCTGCTGTGGGTATGTTTATTTGTTAAGAATATATCTACTTCACCAAGCTTTTGCTATAAGGACAAGTCTGGGTTTGGCATTTTTCACAACAAACAAACATTGAGCTTGCTTTGTTTTTCCTCCAAAAGAAAAGAAATAAGGTTTTATGGGTGAAGTGGTTTTCGAAATATAACAATGTTTCCTTCTTAGAAGTAACTGCAGAAAGCTTATTATATTTATACGAGTATGACAGTAACAACTAAAATTAGGCAATTTTTTCTACCCAAAGATAAAAGTAAAAATTAAGCAATGTTATTGTTAACTCCACCTACTAAAAATGTAGACTGGGAATATTTGGAGGGTTATGATATGACATAATTTTTCAATAAGAAAATTATTGAATTATTATTATAATACATGAAATGTGATATGACTTATTTAAAAGCTAACTCTAAGTGAACATGTGAAACTAATTCATGACATCAAACATTTTGTCTAAATGCTAACATGTTACTTCCCAAGACCAAGAGGTGGCTCATATACTTATAAATAGCCTACCATAAGAGAAGTAATAATATTCTCCCTATTTCACCCTTCAACTTCAAGTAGAGATATTTACTTGATTTTAAATCCCAAACTAACAAATAACCTTATTTTAATTTCGATTGTCGTCAAGACCTTTCTTTCTTAACTTTTATGTACAATTTTGCCCTTTTCGAGAAGCCCAACCTTTACCCCACTCATCTCTTCTCCCCTTAAGCCACTCCATCTCTCACTTTTAATTCAATCTACCTTCGTCACTCTAATTACAAACACATTTTTTAACTCCAAATCTGATGTATAAAGAATATATTTTCATAAGTATAAAGGCATTTTTTCAATACTTTGTTCGCTTTTAACTTTGTAGATATATGTTGTTTCTTTTTATATGATTGTATGTGTTACCAATAGAAAATGGATTTAGTTGTTTACTTGAAATGCAACTCAATTTTGAACTAATTTCCAAGTTTTTTGAAGAAACTCGAGTCTAGTTGCAATCCAATTGCTCGAGTCTTGTTACTCAATCCAATTGCTCCAATCTAGTCATTCAAGTTCAATCACTCAAGTTCGTGTTCGAGTCAAACTATTAAATGTTGTTATGATTTTATTCTATACATTTTTTTATTTATTTAATATGTTAATTTATGAAATTAAAATTGAATAATTAAATTTGTTTATTACATAAAATTGATATTAATGAGAAATTGCATTGCAAATGAAGTTAATCTAACAATATTTAAAAACAGAAAAAATGTGTATTTAGTAGTATTCATTATTTCTTATTGTTAATGCAAGTGATTAACAAGGTTATTTTTCAATGCAAAGTACATACACTGACTTTCGCCATTCCTGTCTTGATTGAGTAAAATTGTGAGTGGGAAAACAATGTCTAATAATGGGAGGATATATGTGGACAGAACTGACATTCCTTTAATGATTGAGAAGACATGGACATTCACTAAATTCTTTTAAGATGTTTATGAAGCTTTATATATAAATCCTTAAGAATTTAAGATCAAGTGTAAAACCCATTTCCCATCCAAAGAAGTAGCACTTTCCAATGACAATCATCTTCATTTCTTTCTTTTATGCCTAACATATACACTATTTGTGTAATGTTAGATCAAGTTCATCTCGAGAAGTTGTAGTGGTGACAACATTTAAATCGACAAGTGGTAGTAACCAATTGAGTTGTGTTGTTCCTTCTACCATGCATAAATCACATTCGAGATTGCAGTGACAATACAATATTAACACAAGGTACTAGTGCATCCGTTTTTAGTCCTCTTGTATGGGTCCGAGGCTTGGTGATATTCCCAATAATGATATACTTTTGGTTAATTTGATGACTCGCAATTATGATGATCGCATTGTGTTGTGTCATGGGTCTGATTTTAGGACGACAAGTTATGGTAATCTGGTAAGATTTTCTAACGAGGTTGGAGACTTTCCAAAACAACAATGCCTCTAGTAAATGAAGCTGCCAACATGGTCCATACTTGTACAATCTCAACTATGATGAGGCGTGTGAACTTCAGATTTCTATTAAAAATACATGATGCAAACGATGAACTCCTTGAAATTGATTCTACTAACCATGGTATTGTTTGGAAAGGTCAAATATGTGTCACCAAGGACGAGTTACAAGCTACATTGACTCTCTATGCAAAAAATAAAAAAAACCAATTCAAGAGTCAATATGAAATTGATTCTACTAACCATGGTGTTGTTTGGAAAGGTCAAATGTCAGAGGATAAGTCATATAAAAAGCAACCCTTGGAGGTAGTAGACAAGAAGGAACAAATTTTGAGAACTAGAGTGATTCTTTCACTGAAAGTGCGATAGAGGAATCACTCTGCGGAAGAAACAACTAAGGAATAGAAAGCTGAAATATAGGAGAAGTGTCCCCAAATTTTCGAAATTTCAGAACATGAAAATTTTGTTTGAAGTTTGAATGACAAATTTTTGCGTATTTTATTTTGTTTTTCGAAAAAGAGATTTACATAGAGTGTGTTGTGAGAGAGAGACGGTTAAAATAAGGTTTAAATGGGCATTTTGACCTAAAATACCTATTTTGGACTAAAAAACAGGTAAAATTATTAATTCATGATATTAAAAATGGAAATTATTTTGAATACAAAAGGTCTATTGTTATATAATTTTTATTAACGTCTCTTTTCTAAAATTTTCCAACCCTTTAGTTTTCAATCATCTTATTTAAATAAGAAAAAATGAGTTTTACACAGGTTTAATGATTCAGAAAACATTTTGGCTCAAGTTCATAGTTACTGATACGATGTAATAATATTATGAAATGAATCACCCAATTACCCAGGTTAAAGGTAATAATACATGATTGTCCAACTGGAATAATATACATGCTGTGAAGCGATGTTACCCAGGATAAAGGTATCATAATAACATATGATGATTGTGAATGAGCGCAAAGGATACTATCTGATATGAGTCGTTACCGTTTTAAGAAAAAGAAAAGTTGTACATGAAATGGTAATATGATTCTACGGCTTTGAGTAAAATGTTGCTTTATGAAATTTGTTAATGTTCTTGAATAATTGAAGTTTTTGTTACAATGTGAACCTTATTAATTTTAGTTATATGTTTAAAGGTCATAAATTGTTACATTCACATTAATTTATAAAAATTGCATATTATGTTCGATTTTACATATCAAGTTGATCACTTATCCCTTGCAGCATAAGTTCTTAATTAGAAAGTGGGAGTCAAGGTGTAGCTCTTATGGAGAGAGATTAATAAAACCTATGTTAGGTTTCTAGTTGAAATTAGTTCCCTATATGTTTGAATTTTGAGGTTTTGGAATGAAGATTTTTTAAATATCCAATCTCCATGTTATATACAAAAATTAGAATCCCATTAATATATAAAGAACACAATGCGTATATTAGTAGACGAATATATCTCGAAACACATACTATATCTACATCTTAGCATGAGTGCGATTGACAAAGAAGTCTATGTCTATCCACGTATTCCTTAACATCTAGGCCCCATTGTATCATCATAACATCCAATGTGCAGTAGAATATGTGTTGAAATGCAATCTTGTGGGACTATGTTTGTGTTACAGCGCTGTCGAAGATGTAACATAAACATGTAAATATCAGTATGTTGAAAAAAAAAAAACATGGTAATATAGTTAAAAATAATATTTCCAGTGCTTAAATAAGAATAATGTCTTACATCGGATTCTAGCCACTAAGATGTCTTTAACTTTTCGTAAGAAATCAATACACACTTGAATGGTAACATGGTCAACAGTCAATCACTCATCAAAATCCAAAGGTAGCCTCCCGTTAATGTGCTGATGGCTGTCGACATCAATGGTCTACAACGGATTGTCGCATATAGACTACGTATCATGGGGATGTAAATCTACGGCATTCAAATCAAGAAAGTTGCACCTGGAATTGTGGGATCTTACGGACACTCTCATCTCCAACATTATCCACAGGTAGCAAACATTTGTCAATAACTATAATGTGATATTAGTATAACAATAATAATGGTTAAAATTATATACTGGATATGAGGCAAAACATGCGAAATCGAGGACCTTAATGAGGGTGATGATGCATGAGGTATGGTGTACGAACATGGCTACTTGTATGAAATGCAAAATAGATTGACAAAATCAAGCTATAGTAATTACAAATACATGAAAAGTTATAGTACTTAAAAGAACAAGGGATATCCAGCTAAGTTAATACTTTTCATGGGTTTTCTTTCCCGCACGCTTTATAGCTTTCTGGACATGCATCCAAAATGACATAAAGGATCGATATGTGTACGCCCATACAACGATGCTCCATGGATAAGAATTAAACTTCTCCATACTAGAAGTAAAATGGGTGGATGAAGCGACATTTGTCTCTACCACGTAGGAAATCTCGAGCACCTATATCTATATGAGGTTAAAGGATTAAAATATAATCAAGCTCTTAAATTTTTTAGTGGACATGCCTTTTAAGCTGAATTATCCTCCAACAAGTTACAAGGAGCTATTAACGAGGGTAGCAACATTTGGTAAAGGTGTTCCATTACCTCTTAAAATTTTGGGTGGCCTACTTTTTGGCAAGACAAAGTTAGAATGGGAAATTGTTTTGTATAACTTAAAAAGAAATCCGAATCCAAAGATCTAAGATGTGTTGAAAATAAGTTATGATGGACTCGATCAGCAAACAAAAGACATGTTTCTAGATATTACATGTTTCTTAAAGGAGCTAAGAAAAATTTTGCAATGGAAACTTTTGATATCAATAGGTTTGCCTCTGAGCTAAGAGTAAGTAATCTAATTGACTGTAAGGTTTAATTAAAACATTCGCTGTAGAATTGACAATTTAAAATTTTAATTAAACCTTAAATATCTGGGTATTGATTTTACTGTTTTCATGCTTAAAATCCATTCAAAGATTGAGATACATTAGACTGGAAACTCAT